AAAAGGCTACGTTAGGATGTTTGATTTTTTTCTCAAAGCAGTAACACTAATTTCTCATAGTGTAAAGAACAGATGGTTCTACTCAGTAAAGTCAAAGTTCAGCAGCAGTAAAATGCAAAAATCATTTATACTCATTTTTGCTGCTTTAGTCACAATTATTTTGTGATGTCGAGTAGACGGAGGAGTATTCATAGAGGCAGACAAACAGAATGTGTTTATAACAACCTGCCATGAAGCCCACTGAGACAAGATGGAGGGGGAGAGGTATCAGAGATAGATGAAGTGATGAGGGGGTGAAGGGATGATGGATGAAGAGAGGAGGAGATATTTATCCCATGTGACCTAGTTTCTTCCTTCAAGGTCATACGCACACACGTATATCACACAAATCCCGATACACAAGAAGATGAAGTCATGTAGGTTCAAACACACACACACACACACACACACACACACACACACACACGCACGTATTAGTTTACCTCTGAAGACCAGTACTGACACAATAACACAACTCCAACACAAATTCTGAGTGATGTTATGCGTTTGTCTCCAACCCAGCAGCATTGTGCGTTTCTACAAACCACAGGTTTGTTGCTGCAGGAACCCATGAGACAAAGTGTGGGGTCCCCCAGGGATCAATTTTAGGTCCAACTCTTTTTAATCTCTACATGCTTCCTCTGGGGGACATCATCAGGAGGCACGGTATCAGCTTTCATAGTTATGCTGATGATACGCAACTGTACATCGCCGTGTCTCCTGATGACACAGGGCCAATTGATGCCCTTTTTAACTGCATTTTAGATATAAAGTCATGGATGGCAGTGAATTTCCTGCAGCTCAACCAGGACAAAACAGAGGTTTTAGTCATTGGTCCTGAAGGCCAGAGAGAGAAACTTTTACCAAAACTACAGGATTTGAAACCAACACAATCTGTAAAAAATCTGGGTGTGATTTTTGACTCTGAGCTCTGTTTAATTCCACATATTAAAAACATAACAAAGGCAGGTTTCTACCACCTTAAGAATATTTCTCTCTCAGGCCAGCACGGAGGTGCTGATGCATGCTTTTATCTCCTGTAGGTTAGATTATTGTAATGCCCTGCTCTCTGGTCTTCCCAAAAAGAGTATCTCAAATCTACAATTATTACAGAATTCAGCTGCACGAGTGCTGACGAGGACCAGAGGGCGGGAGCACATTACACCAGTTTTAAAATCGCTGCATTGGCTCCCCGTGTGTTTCAGGATCGATTTTAAGGTTCTTTTATTAGTTTTTAAATGTCTTAACGGTCTTGGGCCATCTTATTTATCTGACCTGCTTTTACCATATCAACCCTTGCGGACCCTGAGGTCCTCCGGCACCGGCCTTTTAACCGTACCACAAGTTAGGACTAAAACACACGGGGAGGCGGCATTTAATTATTATGGCCCCCAATTGTGGAACAGTCTGCCGGAGAACCTCAGGGCTGCAGAGACTGTTGATGTTTTTAAAAAGAGGCTCAAGACTCATCTTTTTAATCAGGCTTTTAACTGATCTCTTTATCTATTTTAAATTCCTTTTATCAGGCTTTTAACGGATTTATCTATTTGTTTTTTGCTCTTTTTTTTATAAAATGCTCTTACCCTTCCTCTTTTTACTTTCTTACCTCATTTAACCTTTATCTTTTGTTATTTTAGTTAGCCTATAGGTTTTAGTTTTGATGCATTTTATGTCTCTGTTTTACATCATTCCTACCTAGCTACTAACTCAATTTTATGAGCTAAATAGCTTTTTGTTTATTTGGTTCTTTTTATACCTTTTATCCTATCCTACTGTTTTAGTCCCTCAGTTTTTAGCTCCAGTGTTTCCTCATGGGGGGCCTGCCACACTGAGGGTTGTTCCTGGTCTCCCGATGGGGGTGCCGTCGGGAGACCGCTCTGACCTGGGTGGCTAAAGGGCACTGCACTTCGGTGTGGAGCCTCATGTCTGCCTGGGTCGGGGTGATCTCTACGGCAGCGCTCCCTGTGGCCATGGACCTTGGGCTCTCTCGGTGTGGACGGCCCCCAGAGGTGGCTTTCTCCTTGCCTCGGGTCTCGGTGCTCGGCCATGTCTCTTTAGTGATAGCTAGTATGTGTATACTTATGTATCTCTATGTGGGGTGGGAGGGTTGGGTTTTCTCTTTTCTTTTTTGTTTTCTGTTTTGGTTCTTTGTTGTTTTTAACCTCTGTGAGGCACTTTGTGTTACTGTCGTATGAAAAGTGCCATATAATTAAAGGTGATTTGATTTGATTTGTAAGTTTCATATGTAGCAGATGTTTTTTATCTTTATATTTAAGTTCAACCCTGTCTAGCTCTGAAGTCACTGGAATCATAAAAACACGGGACCTGATGTTAAGTTAAGATCCCCCTGTTAAGTGTGCCAATAGATGGTATGCACTCACGTGATGTTTGTCTTGATGTTGAGAGTGGCATTGGAGGAGCCTCTCTGACAGGGAAGGATCTAAATTTTTGGGACACATCGTCAGTAGTGTACACTTTGAATCAGGGAGTGTTTCAGCCTTTCAACACTAGACACCCTCATCAAAGGCGGCCAGCTGAGCGGGTCATGTTGGTGTTCTTTGAGCCCAGCAAGGGTCCTTCCGCTTGATCCACATCCACTGGCTGCTTCTTTTGGCCGCTTCAGAGACTGATCTAATTGTCTGCTGCAGAGCCTGTCCATGGATACCAAGGTCTTTCAGCAGCCTGATGGTGGAAGAAGCCACAAAACCTCTGCATCCCACTTCGACCGGATAGACCTTCGCATTCCATCCTTGTTGTTGTCGAAGACCAGCGCTTGGTCACTGACTTCCGGCGTAAGACACAGACGAGAAAAAAGCTGTCCTTTCGTGTCGGCATGATACGCGGCTGGCAGCCCTTGTTGTTTAAAGGTACCTGGCGGCATCAGGGGGACATGTGGTCGGACAACAACAAAAGTTAAGGTGCCAAAAGTCAGAGTAGGGCGGGTGGGAGGGGTGGTGGATGGGTCCAGCAACCACTGACTTTCACCCCGCTGTTCACTTCCTGTGTGACTGTAAAGCCAAACCCTGGTCGTTTTCTAAACCCAACCACATGCATGTGTTGGATAAACGTAACCATGTGTGTTTGTTGTTGAAGGAAAAAAACATCAATTCACAATGTTGTACGGACGTAGTGCTTTTATTTTGAAAGAGACTGTATGCAAACTGTACATTCCCTGTGAAAACAGAAGTGTATTTTTATTTATTTTATTTATTTAACCTTTATTTACCCAGGCAAGCAATTAAGAACAAATTCTTATTTACAAATGCAGCCTGAACCAAAGAGCAAAGGCTCTCTGGAGGGAGAGGGGGAGTGGATGCTAAAATNCAGGCAAGCAATTAAGAACAAATTCTTATTTACAAATGCAGCCTGAACCAAAGAGCAAAGGCTCTCTGGAGGGAGAGGGGGAGTGGATGCTAAAATTAAAAAATAAAGTTATATAAAATACACAATAAACAATTAATATTTTGAAAACAGACAATGCATGTAACAGGCTGAAGTTGACACGGCGTCCCAGAACGTCAACAACCAACACACCCAGGGTACCTTGCACGTCAAGATATGATGTGTAAGGTGCTCCTGGGTCCATGACCAAACCTTGATATGTGATGAGGTCAGAGTGAGGATGTGACAAAGCTGTGGTTAAAGGTCTTGTGTGCAGGATTTAGTGGCATCTATTGGTGATGTTGCAGAACTGAAACTTCTCCCGTGTGCCAAGCGTGTTGTGGAACTACAGTAGGGATAGACCGATATGGATTTTTTAGGGCCGATGCTGATACAGATTTTTTTCCATCACCCTTAGCCGATGACCGATTATGGACTGCCGATTTTCTTGAGCCGATATCTGGGGCCGATACTGCTTTTGCTCCCTCAGTTTACATCAAAAAAATGACACAATGATAACAAATATTACAGGTCTCAAGTTTAAAATAAGAAACATTTATTGAACAGTAAAAAATACTAAAACAAGATGGAAAGTTGAGGTAGAACAGGTAGAATATTATTATAATTATTATTATTATACAATGAAATAAAAAAAAGAGTTCAGTGCTCTTAAATCTTCCAGTAATGTCTTTATAAAATAAACAAATATTTAAGCTGAAGCATAAATAAAACAACAACTACTGTACACAGTAGGATTCACTGCATGTGCGCTGCAGGGTCTTCCAGCAACACAGAGCTGCCCGTGGATGCCTGTCTGTAAATCATGCCAGGGAAAAATAAATCTGCGAACCCACGCGCGTATCAGCCGATGCCGATACAAGTAAAAAACTCAAATATCGGCCCGATATATCGGCCGACCGATGTATCGGTCTATCCTTAAACTACAGTGGCCAATGTGCCAGCACAAATGGTCTATTGAGAGCCTATAGTGGGCGTGGGTTGGACCCAGGTGCAGCACCACTGACAAAAAGGACAGTTTGTATTTGCCTCTGAAGCAGCTCTTAGAAGAACACAGGATGAGCAGGTAAGTGAAACAACAGGACAGTTACCCGGCTTGGGATCTCCTGAGGCGCAGGATTGATCCAAAAACTGGAGCGTAATCTCTGTGACGCACACGCAGAGACATTGTATACTCTGATTGTCACGATGAGGTCAGAGGTGGTTAGGGCAAAGGGGTCATGGTTAGGGTCAGCATTAGCAAGTCAAAGCACAGTGGGGTGGGACTGGGAGAAACGCTGTGGTCTGGTGGGTGCATCTATCGTCCCAGTGTGACGCTAAAAGTTGCATTTGCTGGTCTTGGCAGTCATCTCACCGAGACGCCATCAGGGTCATGATGATGAAGGCCACAAGCTGACACGCATTGGTCTTGTAATGAAGTTGTTGTCTATACTTTAAGTGTTGCTGTTGTTTTTGTTACCAAAAAAGTCTGTTTACATAATTTCAGCCATTTACAAACCAAATCATTTGACGAATGAATTATTTTTTATAATTTTCAAATTCATTTTCTCTGTGTCCTCCAGAATGACAACCCTGATGGTCTGGAGGAGGACATGGAGCTGACTCTGGAGGGAGGAGGCTTCCACCCAAACCCACGAGCCTCCTCCTGCTCCCTCCCTTCCACCCAGCCCTCTGGCTATTATCGCCTCTGCCGGGGAGGAGGAGGAGGAGGAGGAGGAGGAGGAGGAGGAGGCGGCCTGGCCTGCCCGGGGGGAGCAGGAGGTGGAGAAGGTCCTGGGGATGATGTGGATGTGGAGGAGGAGGAGGAGGAGGATGAGGATGGGGAGGAAGGAGAAAGAGGAGAGAAGGAGGACAGAGACCCCCCTGTGCCCCTCCCTCCTCTGCTGAGCCTGGCTCCTCTGCTGTCTAACAGCCAGGAGCTGGACAGCGGAGTGGGCCGGACAGACGACAGCACCCGCTACGAGGAGTCGTCTGAGCACGACCTGCTGGGTGATCAGACCAGTGCCTGTAACACCAACACCACCAACACACCAGGCAGCACCAGGAAGTTCAGAGCGGGACCCAGCCCCAGGTAGGACCAGGACCCCAAGAAGTGGGGCCCATTTTCGCAGTGGCCAAACGGTGGAATAGTTACATCCAACACGTGGTGATAGTGGGCCCAAAGAGCCACTCATGTTAGAGAAACAATGACCCGGAAGTTAGCAGCTCGGACGCTGCAAAGCCGGACTTATGGTTAAGCGCACTTTTGATGATTGTCACTCAGAGATGGCGTACTATGTTGCAGACATAGACACAGAGTCACTGTGGTCACCATGAAGACAATAGTTTCAAATCCACAGTAGCTATGTTTCCATACAAAAGTGATTCGAATCATTGGGAAATGCGTATTAAAAGAAATACAAATCCTGTGTGTTTCCATTAAATGTACGGACTTTGGTGAAAACTATGAACTTGTGCGAGTTTTCCGCAGAACCGGAAACAAAATAAGTCTCGCATTCTTCTTCTTCTACGTTTTCTGGTGGTTGGCAACCAGCTTGTAAATGCATTACCGATTTCGAAAAACCCGGCTAAAGCGAGCGTATTTTAGTTTGTGCGAATCTGGAGGTTTTAATTCGAATTTTGGCGTTTCCATCATAATTTTCCGATGCGATACTTCTAGATGTGCATCTAAACAGGCTGATGGAAACATGGCTTATGACTCTGACCTGCACTCAGTGTCTGTGTCGACAGAAACATAAAATAAAAGGCATAAAATTTACATCACAAAGCATTTGACCAATTCTAAATTAGGCAGAACTTTGAAATGCAGCCTTAAAGCTCGCTGAGTCAGCGGAGCGCTGGACTAAAAGGAAAGGCCTCTTGTAATTTAAGTCTTTTTTTTTTTTTTACTTTTTTTTTAAATTAACCAGCTAATTAATGGCTGTCAGCCTATCGAAAGCAAAAATAACCAAAACTGGTATTTTGCCAAATTTTCATCATGACAGGAGCAAAATATCTGACTGACTTCAGCCATGAGGATAGTAACACAACTATACTGAGAAGATCTTTCAGATTAGTATGTAATAATACAGCACACCCCTCCTGTTTCCTGTACCCAGACCCAGTCCCAGACCCAGCCCCGGCCTCGGCCCCAGCCCCGGACACGGCAGAGGAGACACCACCCCTCCTTTCCTGCATCTGCGAGACCTCCAACTCAGCTCCGACTCCCTCCCTGGCCTGGACTGGGCAGCTGCGGGAGGAGCAGGAGGAGCAGCGTATAGCCCCCACCACCATCATCACCACAAGGTATATCAACATGAGTCTTGTTGAAGCAGGGGTCAGCAACCTGTACTATCAACAGAGCCATTTATGGCCATAGAAAAAAACAATCATATTTGAGCCTTACAATGAAGGTCATGGCGGCACGGTGGTACAGTGGTTAGCATTGTCTCCATGGTCACTCTGTAGTGGGCTATTTAAGACTATTTAGCTCTTTACCTTTACAGCTCTGGTGCTGAAAGCAAACACATCTGTCCAAGCACTTTTAAATTTGCTATATTCCGCCATGACTGTTCCTGTTTCAGATTCAGAATCCACAGCTCGCCGAGCTAATGAGATTCAAGATGAGCCACCGCTATTAGAGGAAAAGGTGCCAGGCTGTATACCTACGACGCACATTTTACTCAACAAAATATTAAAGCATTATTTTATTTGGTGTAAAGGCTACACATTTTTACTACTGGAGAATGTAATCACTTTAGGCCCACAAAAACAGTAAATGAAAATTAAAATGTTAAAAATAAAACAAAAATTTTTCATTCTATGTAAATTTTTTTAAGCCACAGGGAGTCACTGGAGAGCTGCATGTGGCTCCAGAGCCGCACGTTGTCTAGTTAAAAAAGTGAGTCTGATGATATTCTCTATTTTAGGCTGCTTTCACACCTGCTCTGTTTGGTTCGGTTCAATCAAACTCAAGTTCGTTTGCCCCCTCAGTGCGGTTTGTTTGGGCAGGTGTGAACACAGCAAAACAACAGGACTGAGACCTTCTTGAAGAGGTGGTCTCAGTCCGGTTCCAAAGGAACTCTGGTGCGTTTGGTTTGTGGTGAGAAGGTGTTCCGACCTGGATGTGAAGCAACTGCAGTCACATGACACATTGTTTGGGTTAAACATGAGCATGTTACAGTCCTGGAGGATTATTAATGTGCACCTCCTCCTGTACTGCCTTAATATGCACATTCAGCACATCCAATGCATCAAAACATTGTTTTCTAGTTGGAGCTGCGCCTCGTTTTCAAACTGTATGGTTTGACTAAAATGAACAATGACAGCAATATAGTCCACGATGAGCAGCGCTAAAATCAACCTGCGTAGTTGTCCCTCCATTGTGACATTAGAAAGTGTCACATTTATCTTGCAAGTGTACTCTTCTTCAACGTTTGCTTTACTTCCTGGATTTTTCCCACATGGAAATTCTGACCAATCAAGAGCAGCTTTCTCACACAAGGCATTTGATCTGGTCCTCTTGTAAATGCTGCCGTGAGAACACGAACCAACTCTAGGTAATTATACAACTTTGGAACAACATGAGTCCCTGATTCAGACCAGAGGAGACCACTCTAGGACTGACAGCAACCTTACCTATTGTTATCAAATTCCATTAAACAGCCAGACCAACAATGTATCCTCTTCCTCTGTGCCATAAGGCTCCATTTTTGTCCAAAAAAACCATCAGTGAGACACACTGTTGCTCCAGGTGACATGTTCCTTCATTACCATGAACACACACGCTGTAGATTACTTTGACTCCCACATACACCTGACACAAATACTCACTAGAGCACTAAGGCCTAATCCCAATACCTCCCCTTGCCCACTACCCTTGGCCCTCAAAATGAAGCAACGAGGGGTAGGGGTAGAAATCTTTTCCTAGGAATTGGGACACCACTCACTACGTCACCGCGTCGGTTACGTACATGCATACGTAACTATTTCAAACAGGAAGCTGCGAGCCATCTACATTTCCAACTGGCATCTACAGTGGAGTCTCCAGTTGAGTTCATCCTACCGATTGCGTTTGCCACATTCATCATGCTTCGTTTGATGAACGACAGACAACAGGGGACTTCTGCTAGCTAGCTAGCCAGCTAACATTACGAGGCAGCATAGTTATACTAGCTGGCGTGTTATCGTAATGTGAAAAGTCCGACAATTTTGCAGAACAGGACAGATGACAGACGCCAGATAATGCAAGCTAGCTAGCTAGCTAACAAGCAACCTGACGATGGTAACGTTAGCTGTGTATGAACTTTTTTCCCCGTCTCTTGCTCGGTGGTAGCCATGGCGACATCTACCCCTCGCTGGCAAGTCAGCATCTGAAATCCCTCGCTCTGAAGGGCTAGTTTCAGACCCACTACCCCTCGTTTGCTACATTTCTTAAAACTACAGTAATGATCTGTTTTTGGTGAATAAACTTTGTCGTCCACAGTTGGAACCGATGGGCTTGGGGCTGACCAGCACAGGCAGGGTAGGAGGTGAGGAAGTATTGAGAGACAAACTAACACATCGATGGTCTTGAGGGTTTTCATAGGATTTGTTGACGAGACCAAAAACACAGAATACAGCTCGACTTATTCTTTTAACAACTGAAATGACCCAAATGGCTCCGATGGATGTTGGGGATGTTCTGTGTGCGCTCATGTGCTTCAGCACTGAGAAAACCCTTTACGCTATTATTTAGAGTGGTGCATTTCAGTCGAGCTGTCAGTCGTCTCATAGCAACAGGAGCTGTGACCAGTGCTTCCTCTGTCTTTACTGCTGCTGGATAAAAAGAGATAAAAACATTTTACCTGCCGTCAGGGTGAAGATCCCTTTTAAGGCACACTTTCCCTGTCATCCAACATTCAGCACAGTTGATATTCAGAGACTGTTTTTAACAGTCTTGCTCTTTTCTTTAAGAGATTTGGACTTTATTTGTATCAGATATTAAAGAAGACTAAGATCCTACAGTCATGAGGCTGTGCCCTACTGAGATTAATGCTACCATCAGCATGCTAACATATTCATAATGACAATGCTAGCATGCTGACATTGGGCATTTATAATATTTACCATGTTCTCCATCTTACTTTAACATGTTAGCATGCTGACATTGGTTAATTAGCACCAAACACAAAGTACAGCCAATCTGGTCTCAGAAATACATCCAATGACCGACCCGGGTCACCTTACATGACGGTGACACTTTAACGTGCCATCACCACAGAAACAGGGCTGATGCAAAGTCAATTAGAACACACAAATTCCCTGGTTCAACAACCTCACGTGATGGGCAGTGGTTAATGTTACGACCCCATAACTAGTATAAAGAGTGAGAAAGTCCATATACGATGGGAAGTCAGAGTAGTGGATGGGTGGCTCAAACAAACACCAAACTTTTGCCCAGGAGACTATTTGTGTGCTGCTAACACCTGACTTTTGATCTGCAGCACTACCACCACCATCACTACCAGCCCCCACTGGCGATGATGATGCCGGGCCTGACGGAGGAAGAGTGCCAGCGATACCAGGAGCTGCTGGAGATCAAGTGCCAGTACGAGAAACGTAACGAAAAACAACAAAGAGAAGCGGCGTGTAAAGACACTGAAGCAGAGGTGAAGGACCAGGAGGAGAGAGAAGAGGCAGAGAGGGGAGGAGAGGAGGAAGCTTCTTCTTCGTCTGCGGTGGACGTGAACTGCAGTGCAACTTTAAGCGAGCACGAGATGGCGCTGATCGAGGAGGAGTTACGCCACCTGGAGTTCAAGTGCCGCAACATTCTCCGAGCGCAGAAGATGCAGCAGCTCAGAGAGAGGTGTCTGAAAGCCTGGATGATGGAGGAGGAGACGGTGGCAGCCGGAGCGGGGCGACCAGGCCCTCCTGAAGCAGGTAACCATGACAACAACTAAACAGGAACGTGTTAAAGAAATTCCCAAATCTGACATCCTGTCTGTTCTGTTGTATGATGGGAGCATTTGAAGGAGAAAAAACAAATTAGAAATTCCACTTTATTCCAACTTATGACTTGAAGGAATAATTTAAACAAGTTACGGCAGAGACTCCAGATGGTCACTGCTCTGGGCCTGCAGACAGTCCGCCACGTTACACCCCCTGTAAAACCGCAGCTGGTCATTTTTGCCCCCTTTTTTTGTACAGATTAACTTAATTGTTCTTTTATTGCCATAAAGGGCCACTGTGTAAGATTTAGGGGGATTTAGTGGCATCTACCAATGAGATGATGAGAAATGAGATTTCAACCAGCTGAAACTTCTCCTGGTTAAAATTCCTTCAGTGTTCGTTGTTCAGGAGGTTTTTACTTCCTCTTCAAAACAAACAGACCAGGTGATTTATTATGGTGAAAACACTAGATAAAGCAGTTTTATGTTACAAATCAGTGTTTCTGCAACGCTGTTTGGTATATCTGCTCAGGCTGTTCTCACAAATTTTCTCGTACGTTTCCCTAAGAAAAGCAATGCACAGAAATTTGTACAAATCCTGCGTATTTTGAAAGGCTTCAAACATGTGATCAATGCGCTGATGGCAGTTAACAAGGAAGCAGTCCCTAGTGCTTGTAGGGAGGCAGGTTGGGGCAGTGGATGGGTCACAAAACCACAGACTTTCACCAGAGACTTTTCCCTGGAGTCACATGTTCAGATCCGTGTGAACCTTAAGTCATTGTAAGGTACGTCCTCATCATGTTTCTTTCCCTAAACCTAACCTCCATAACTATTATCACCTATACCTAACCTTGATAAACTTTTATTGCCTCAACCTAACCTTGATAACTTAACATAATTACGTAACTGTATGTTACAAAGTAACGTCATTTGTGGGGCACAAATTTGTAGGATGTCATACGCAACGTTCTGTGAGAACTGGTTGGTCTGGTTGGGCCGATTGCACCTGCAAATATGTGCTCACTTTATTTCTAATCCAGATGGTCAAGAGGTTTTAACTGGGAGCAGAATTATCCTCAGAGGTGTTTTCCTCTCCAAAACAAACAGACCAGATGATTTAAACCCGTAATAACCCTGAATAAAGCAGTTTCACGTAATTTTTTTTTTTTTTTAAATCCAACGCTCTCGTTGAGGGGCTGCTAACTATGGTGGCCAATGTGAAAACGCGAAAGGTCACTCTGTTCACCAAACTGATGAGACCAAAATTAGTTTCAGCAAAAGTCATTACCAAAGGAGAGCCTGTCTCCAGATGTTAAGTGAGTGAAATGTGCGTGTCGTTGTTCCTTTGCAGTTCCTCTTTAAACTTGGAACTTAAAAACAAAAATTCTTTACTTTTAGGTGTGGATAATGACAACGAGGATGACGATGATAATGACCCTCATCGTCACGAGTTATCGGCTATCAATGAGCTGCCGGAGCGAGAACGATCCGACGACAAAGACAGCACCAGCGCCTACAACACCGGGGGGGAGAGCTGCCGGAGCACGCCATTGGTTAGCACCGAGCAGATCCCTCCTCTCCAGGAAGAGGAAGATGAAGGAGGAAGACGGCTGATGTCTCCACCTCCTCTATTACCTCTCGCTCGCCTCCCCCCTCTGAACTCCCCCCTCACCCCGCGGCGTCACGGGCGGGACCGAGACAGAGAGAGGCGCCACTCGAACCTCAGCTGCTCTTTCTCCCCGAGCACTTACAGGAAGTACGAAACAGCCAATGGCAACGTCGCACATGGGTCAAGCTCCACCCCCTCTACGCCCTCCAAGTTCAGGTCTCCCTCATCATTTTGATTTTAACACATTTTGTGAATTTAAACTTTGTAAAACTGCATAAATAATATTGGATATTATGCTGGATTTATCGCCATTATCAGGTCTCTGACCAGAGAGGTGGGGTCTTCTTCAAGAAGGGGTGTGGCTGATGGAGGGCGGGGCTCCAGAGCAGGTAAACAACAATTTAACTGTTCTCCACAGCGTCAACATTAGGCGATGTAATGTTAATCAGCAAATCACTTGCATCCTAACCTTATGAGTTTGCTAACAAATGCTAATGTTGCTGTGTTATTGTTGCAGGTGGCGCCACCGACAGGCCCGGAGGTGGAAGTGCGGAGTCCAGTCCTTATTTCACCAGAAGACACCACAGCAACAACAAACCATTAGAGCGCTACCAGAGCTGCATGGCGCTGCCCTCTGAGGGCCTGGTGGACCCACTGGATCGAGTGAGAGACAGAGCGAGGGCCGAGGGCGAGGAGAGGGGGATGGGCACGGGCAGCAGTGGCCCAGCCAGCCCCAGGAGTGTGAACAGCGCCCCCTGTGGTCTGGAGGACCACCATACAGGCGCCTCACGGTTAGGACTCGCGTTACCACTCGGGCTGACACACTCATCACCAACTGCGTCACCACAACGCATGGAGTGGAAGGTAAATGGTGTGATGATGTTCTCTCTTTGTGTTCTCATTAAGAGGACCGGCTCTGATAGACAGTCACCCTCCTGCTTTTTACTAACCATAATGATAAATGAAATTGGCTCCTGCTAAAATGAAATCCTCAAATCAGCTGGACAAAACTTTGTGTGGACCACTGGTCAAACCTATGTGTTTATTTTTAGGTTCATTGGTGTTCCGGCAGAAACCCAAAATATATATTTACATGCTTTAATGTTGAAAAAACACTTTATTGTCCTCTTACTGTCTGAGCTGAAACACCTGTATTCATCCTCTGTTCCATTTTATCGCCTGTCTGTTTAAGCCCCCCTTCCATTAAAGTCTGCTCTCATTTGCCAGCTTCTTCAAGTCTTCTGAATCTTGGCTTCTCTGCACCGTTCGTTTCAGCTGGGAAATGGCAAGCAGCCTTTTCTACTGTGAATAATCACTAATAAAAATTTCAAAACACAACCAGACATGTTCCAGCAGGAATATGATGCAAAATGTGGGAGAAATTAACGACATCAGCAACCACGATTACATGTTTCCCCGACATTAGCACTTAGCTACATGTAAGTTAGCAGAGTACTTGCAGCTGAGGAATAACTGTACCAGAGATTAGAGGCGTTTTCTACAGTGAAAAATCACCAGTAAAAGCTAAACAACAGCAGACATGTTCCAGCACGAATATGATCCAAAATCTGTGAGAAATTCAAAATAGCAGAAACCAGTTTCACATGTTTCCCTGACGTTAGCATGTAGCTATATGTAGCAGTGTATAATGTAAACATTTGCAGTAACATGCCTGGAGCAGAGGACCATATTAAGAAATCTAGAATGAGGCGACGTCAGCTTGTTGCTGAAGTAGAAAAAAAATGTTGGAGACAGAGTATTCAAAACAGTGTGAAGTCTGAGGTTGTTTTTACCTACGTTTACCTTTTTATTTGAAACTTGAGCCACATTTAATATGAACATCTGACATTGCAATATTATATATACTACTCCATACCCACTGGTAGCTTTGTCACCTTCTACCTATGCTAGTCCTCAATGCCTATGTGCAGTTTCACATAGATTGACCACGTCAGTGAGTAGAAAAACGTGGGACAGACAGAATGACTGACTGACAGAATGACACACTGACAGTTTCCGTGATTATGTACAGCATACCATACCATGACTTAGTCATACCAAACATTAGAAAACAACACCAACATTGGTCCACAGGGGGAGCCACAGCGATCGGTCGCATTTTGAAGCATGTTTCTGTTGTTATAGCGCCACCCAGTTGCCAATTAGAGTTAAATTTCTCCAGTCACCTTGAGGCGTCCTGTTCTACATATCTACCAAGTTTAGTAAAAATCCATATGGCGGTTAGGCCTAGATAAGAAATGAGCTCTCTAGCGCCCCCATTTTGTTTGATGGGGTCAATAATGGAGGGGTCCCCTCAGATTATGTGTGGTCATATGCCTACAAAGTTGCGTGGTGATGGGTGAAACCCTTGAGATGTTATACACCTTTATGTGATGAGCCACGCCCTCCGCAATATTCATTGCCTTATAGAAGCTCAGTTTTAGTAAGTTTTCCAACTTTTGCCAAGAGGGAACTTTAGATATTGGTCCCTAGATTATGTTCACCCAGTTTCATGCAGATCGCTCAAACTTCCTAGGAAGAGATCCATTTGAAGTGTTTTTCAAAAAATTCAAAATGGTGGAAAATCTATATAAGTGGACGTTATGGGTTCTTGAGGCAAATGTGTTCCTCATGAGGAGAGGCATCTCTGTGCAATGTTTCATGTCTCTACGACATACGGGGCATGAGATATGCCCATTCAAAGATTGACATTTCAGTGGGTTGCTATAGCGCCCCCCTTTGGCCAATTGATGTAATATTGCTTCATTCACATCCTCCCATGACCCTCTACCACTGTGCCAAATTTCACATGGATTGACTAAGTCAGTGAGGAGAAAAACGTGGAACAGACACACAGAGTTTCATCATTATATAGTAAGATGACAACAAAAGGAAAAGCATTCCCTTTTAAATCTGCTTAGTGATTAAACACAGTTGCCTCCATATTGTTTGACAAATTCATATTTATTTTTCTCTGTGAAAGGAAACATAACTGTCTGTTTTAGTCATTTCCTCCATGACTTTGCACAAGAGGCAACTGATTTGTCCTCTTTGTGTTCAGGTAAAGATCCGGAGCGACGGAACTCGTTACGTGGCCAAGCGGCCGGTCAGGGATCGTCTCCTGAAGGCCCGAGCCATGAAGATCAGAGAGGAGCGCAGCGGCATGACGACAGATGACGACGCTGCCAGTGAGATGAAACAGGTGGAGTATGCACAGTAAACGCATGAATTGACACGTTGTCCCTGAATGTCCAAAACTGATGCACGAGGGTACCTATCAGGTCACAGTGTGACATGTAGGCCCAGTGACAAAGCAGCGGGATTTGACAAGATGGGATGAGAATGTCTTGTTCTCGTCCGCTCCTCCTGCCGATCGCAACAGTTATGACGAACTGACCACTGATAATTACCAGTGAAATGAAAAGACCTCAAACTAAAGGTTTATTCTGTGTCTCTAATATTAAATAATCACCTCTGATATTGTTTGGAACTGAATTTGTCACTATTTGGGTTCCTCGTTTAACATTTTTAAAAAGCATATTTACAATAATAATAATTAAACTTTATCATTATTATTTTTTACTTAACCAATTACTAACATTTCGTGACAAACTGTGACAACCGTCTGTGACAACCTGTGCTCCACCAGGGCCGATACTGGAGCAAAGAGGAGAGGAAGCAGCAGCTGCTGAGAGCCAGAGAGTACCGACGAAGAAGAGAGTACATGATGCAGAGCCGCCTGGACTACCTCAGAGGAGACAGGTAGGGAACAACAAGTCCAGTTTACCCAGACATTTTGAAAAGGATCACTGGGAAGGAAAGAGTCGTGTATCTCACAGAAATGTATGAAAAGACCAAGAGCTCTTAATAATGTGGTGGTGGTACATAGTGTGTTAAATGACCTGCTGACACCAAGGAAGCGAGGCCAGCGGAGATGCAATCAGCCTTTTCTATGTCCGGCCCCTTTTCGCTCTGTGCTCCAGTATCATTGGAACAAAACTGGAACATGGCTGAAACTCAGTGAACTTTTTCCTCCCGTTATCCTTAGTTATACTACGTGCTGCCTTTCCCCCACAGGGCTGCAGGCTGCATAGGAGTGTTAAAATGTGTTTGTCTTGTTGATGAGACATTTCTTGTTTACAATATATTTATTAATTTTGAATATTTTTCTTTGTGGTTTGTCACTCAGGAGCTCAGAGTTACCCATCTGTGTGTGTGTGTTCACTATCACACCATGACGTGAAGATTAATGTCAACAATACAATCCTCTTACCTTCCTCAGCTGGAGGCGCCACGCAGTGTGAAAATTCATTAAACATCCGGATAACAAAACTCTTCATTAATCCAAACCAATAATCCATCAGTCAGAGTTAATTTATGGAAATCCCAAATTCTGGAACAAGCAGGTTTTGTCTGTTGGTGGTTGTCAAACTCTGACACCTGAACACTGAGGCATCACAGACGTCAGTTAATCAGCATCATTACATCACCTGTGAGCGCAGGGCTTAAAGAGCAGGGCTCCAAATGAGGAGTAACATGGTGCTTTAATAACATGTTGTCAGTAAAATAATAGTATTCATATTTATGTGAGGCTGCCAGATAAAACCTGAAGCTGCTGAAAAGACTTTCACAAGCTGTGATGTTAGAAAATCAACCCACGAGACTGAGGCTGGTTTTTTAAAATATTTTTTGTTGGTTTTTTTTGCACAGAGAGGTTGAAGCTCACTGGATGACTCAGAGTGTATCAGGCAGTCAAACTACCTCTGAAAGAAATCCTTGCTCACAGCTGCATTATCAAGCGACGATTACGTAACTCTGTTCTAAAAGGAAGACAATAGTGGAAACAAATGGCCGCCTGGAAAGAAGGAGATTATATTCATTTGCAGGATTTTTTTGTGAGAGTTATTTTTTGTGAGAGTTATGAGCCTCAACCACACAGTGTTCATGCAGGCAGAAAACCAAAACAACAAAGTAAAAGAAGATAAAAGCTGCGTAGAGCTGAAGAGTTGGTTTAGTGGAACATAGGAATCTAATTTTCTTTAAAAAGAAGTGCAAAAAGCTGCAAAAAATACTTTAACCCAAGTCCAACGGAAATCACATCATCTGGATAGTTTATAAGAAACAATGAAAAAAAAAGAAACATATCTATATAAACCAATTAATTTACACTGAAATAAGACCTATAAAACCCTTGAAGTCCTGGAAGAATTGAAAGAAAAAATGTGTACACAGAAGATTAATGTACACAAGGAGACATGATGGTACAAGATCGTGGCTGCGTTTCCCAGTTAAGAGCGATCTTAAGACTTAAGAGCACAGTTAAAGGGCCAGTGTGTAATATTTGGCATGGTTTATTGTCAATCTGAATCTGAATCTGAATATTCTACCCATTAATATGTTTATACAAGTGTATAATCGCTATAAAATAAAATTCGTTTGGTTTTCGTAGCCTTATAATTATGCTTTTATATATATATGTATATCAAGGGCCTTGCTTTAGAGAGATCGCCATCTTGCGCCACCATGTATGTAAGGCAGCCCGAGCGGACAATCCAGCCAGCCAGAGAACGCATTTCGCGTGTATAAATGAACCAACGAAGACAGCGGAAGGAAGGACGAAGGAGGAGGAAACAGCAGAGAGTGTTAGTAGTTCGTTGATAGAGAGTAGTGTAAAGTTTTTTTAGTTATAAAGTTTGCGAATGGACCACACTTACCACGCAACAGGAGAGAATGAACCCGAACCGTCATCTGCGAGGAAAAGAAGACGCAACTTCACTCCTTGTGATGCACTCTCTGCGGCGCTTTTCCTCCTGATGATATATCTCCCCAACGATGGCAGCAGTAGCACCGAATCCCATTCTGTGCATTCAGCCTCTCTTCTCGCCCGCTCAGCATCAAACACATGGAGTTCCTCATCTGTGTGCTCCGGCTCAAACAGGTATGGCTCTGGGTCTGTGTCCGCTACAAGAAACTCTTCAAAATCGCCTTCAAAGTCGTCCATTGCAGCTACTATAGTCTGGAGATATTGCTAAGCTAAATAAACAGCTGAGCTCTGTTTACAGGCTACGCTGTCAGTCAGTGTGCGGGCTGGAGATTGGTGGAGCAGAGAGGGGAGGGGGTGCCCACTCAGAATGGTAAACGAGTATGTGTGTATGAAGTGTGTCTATTACGCCAGAAGAGTCAGAGTTTGGGACGGAGTCTTTTACCCCCTGGAGTGTTACCGGAGTTTTTGGAGTGCTCAAATAAACGGGCCTTTTTCCCGAACGCTCCTCTGGTCTCCTGCTCGTGAGGGATTCATTACAATATCGTAACATGGTTTAGATTTCTAAATAAACATTCACCTCGTCGCTAGATAGACCTACTCCTGAAAAACTGCCTGCACAAGGCTTTTTGTCCCTACGAGGCCACCGTCATTTACCTGACAGGAGGGGTGAGCGAGTGAGCCCTGCAATCTAGAATTTGACCACTGATGTCACTGTTTTCAACCCATTTTACACACTGGCCCTTTAAGAACGTCTTAGCTAAGAAGGGTCGCTAAGATAAGAGTGTTTACCAGATGAGTTCTTAATGCCCTTCTTAGGATCGCTCTTTAAGATGCTCTTAACAGGAGCTGTCCACTACCGCGCTGCTGAAACTAAATCAATCGATGTCAGGCAAATCGATCACCCACCACTTCATCAGCACATAAGTCACACACAGCGCTGCTACCTAACGCACTAATTCCCTGCTGCTCGTGTGTAAGTGTGTTCTAATAATTCTAATGAAAAACTAAGACATAAATATTTGTTAATATATTTCTCATTATTATTATTTTTCTTCCGCCGGATTTCGGTACGCACTGTTTTAACATCTCCTTGCTTAGTGTAATATTAATTTGCCTGACGCGGTTGGATCTGTGAGTGTTTGGACGCTAAGAAGACTGTTAAGACTGGGTCAGCTCGATCTTACAACTCCTTCTTAGTGAAAGATCTTCTTAAGCTAAGAGCGATCTGGGAAACGCGGCCCTTGTTTGTACAACGTATCTTTCAGAGCTCTGGAGGAATCAGTCAAAACCAAGCAGCAACTTCCGGGGCTGAAAAATGAAGCAAACACAGAAGTACCAAAAACTTTGGTTCAAACTTCACAGTAGAAATAAACATTTTACAGCCTGGTACAAAAACAGTTTGGGTCTCAACAGCTAATTTCAACATTCATGGCAACTGTACAGGGGGTGAAATATATAACACACTGTTTACATTTCATTAATAAAAAAATAAATAAAATAAATAAACTTATTTATAAAGCACTTTTCAAAACAAAGTTACAAAGTGCTTTACATGGTTGATCCTGCATTTAAAACAATGCAGGATTCAAGTAAATAAAATTACGCAATTTTAAGAAAATAGAAAAACAATATAAATAAAATAAAGATGAAATACCATAACTGAAACAGATAAGCAAAGTTGGCAACTAAAGATTGCACTGTTGCACTAAGGTACAGCAACTTCAAAAATAAAAGAACAAAATAAAGATAAGACATATGTGAGACATATATAAAATAAACAGTATATGGAAATTAATAAAAGGCTTTTTTGAACAGAATACTTTGAAATGTGTAGTAAATGTACAAAAGAGGCCTGAATCAGTCTTGTTCTTTGGTTTCTATCCAGGGACATTTCATCATCAACCCGGGGAGCCGAAGACCTCCGTTCATCCCAGACGGCCCAGCTTCACCCTCGACAGGACTCCCCTAGCAACAACATCCTGTTACTGAGCCAGAAGAAGATCATGAAGAGGAGGAATCGCCGCATCCTAGACAACTGGATCACCATCCAGGAGCTGCTGGCTCATGGCTCCAGGTCGCCGGACGGGAAGAAAATATACAACCCTCTGCTCTCTGTGACCACGGTGTGATGTGAGGAGAAGAGAGGAGGAAGAAGAAGAAGAAAGAAAAGGACAATACAAACTTCAAACTATGAGATCAACGCTTCAGATGTCTTTGGGCTGGAAGGAAGATAGACACGTGTTAACAGAGCAGAGAAGACTTCATATAAAGATGAGGGATTTATAACCTGGAACATTTTGATGTATGTCTAAAAACTGTTCCCTGAACTGTCTTTGATCGTGAGCGTGATGACGAAGGGAAGATACAAGTAAAGGAAACGCGAGGATGGAGTATAAGGACCACACGCAGTAGGAGGCAGCTGAAGTGGAAAAGTGACAATGACTCTGAAAGGATGGACTCGGCATCAAACAAGCAGCAATAGCCTCAAAAGAAATCAGGAGTGACCCTGAAAACCTGAACAGTTGGGTTACTTGTCCTGAGGGTTGAATCTGGGAACAAAAAACTGTTATAGGGACTGGATGCTGGATGGCCTGTTAAGCAGCCAAAGAAGTGCGAGTGTCCAGCCCAACATATGGGACTGGACTGAATCCTGAGAACTGAACTTCTTTGACACAAAGAGCACCAGGTTATATGTCTCTTCAAACTCAGTAAAGACACATTTAAGAAGGGAACGGTTTGTTCTGGTTCACTGCTGCTTTTAGGACCTCAAGAAAATGTTCTTCTTCAAATGACTCTTCTCTGTACCTGAAGGAGACGGGTTTCATGTCCTGGTGTGTTCAGGCAGAAATATAGTTCAGATATTTTGAAATGCGGTTGTTTGGGCTACTTATCCATAACAGATGTCAGTCAACACGCCCCCAGTTTGGAGAGTCAGGCTGAATGTCCGACAGTGATTTCCACCTGGAAAAGGACACCGTTATATAGCTCTCTTTAAAGCCAGACTCCATTGAGAAAAACAGTGATTTAATATCACTGAACAAAGGATCTACAGCTGCCTCAGCCACTTAGTTTGTACATGTTACTGTGTGACTTTGGCGACGTTGGCATCACCAGAGTCATACAGTAACATAAACTAACTAGTTAGTCAGTGGGGATAGACAAGCATCTCCCGTATTCAGCAAGCTAGAATTGCTGTTTTTGTCAGTGGAGTCTGGTGGCTTCGACAAGAGCATTAACAGCTTACTTGTCGAAAATTCCTGGTAAAGTGGTGAAAATGCTCTCAATATAGCGTACACTTTATTTTTTATTTTTATATACTTTATTAATCCCCCCGAGGGGACATTCAATATTTTCACTCCGTTGTCATTAACACACAGGTCTGAAATACACACACATGCACAAACAGGACCGATACATGCAGTAAGTGGAGAGATGTCAGAGTGGGCTGCCCATGGACAGGTGCCCTGAGTGGTTGGGGGGTATGGTGCCTTGCTCAAGGACACCTAGGTGGTTCCCAGGAGGTGAAGTGGCACCTCCAGCCACCAGTCCACGCTCCATATTTGGTCCGGACAGGGACTTGAACAGGCGGCCCTCCGGTTCCCAACCCAAGTCCCTATGGACTGAGCTACCATAAAAATAGTTGCAAGCTGGAGTCGAACCCATGACAGCTGCAGCGAGGCATCACCTCTGTATATAGGGTGCCGGCTAGGGCTGTACCCAGATATTCGGATATTCGAATATTTGTTTCTATGGGTAGGTATTCGTTATGAAAATTTGGTATTCGATATTCGTTTTTTTATTTACTTTTTTTTTTTTTTTTTTTACATATTTTTTGGTGCTAAATGTAGTCTTTTTGTTGTTAGTAAATGTAGTTTTAAACTGCATTGTTAAAAATGTGAAAATATAGTATCGCCTACCAACTGAGCTTGTGCACACGGCACGCTTGAGTTTTACCACTTCATCACTATTCCCTCTAACTTGTAGCATTTTTTTTGTTATCTTTTTAATTTAATATGAATTATGGAACCGTTTTTGTCAACGTTTGTTTCCCCCGTTTTGTACAATAAATTATTGTTTAAAGTTTCAACAAGTTTCTTTTGGAGTGCGTGACACAAGTGTGTTTTGAAAACAACCGCGGACTGTCACCTGCTCAACGCATCAGAACCTTAGGATGCCATGACAGTAATAGCCAATAATGTCAAAATATCATTTACAGACTGATTTAACAGACGATCACTGCTGCCCGACCCGCAGGTCCATTTGTGGGTCCCGCGGGTTACAGGTCGACCCGCGCATCACTACTCAGCTCAGTCTATAAATGCTGTACACAACAGTAAGGCTATAGACATTATATTCTATTCAGGCCGGCAGAACCAGCAGCGCATCGGCTCTACAGTGCACGACACTGCTGATTAACCATTTTATTGCAGCACAGAGTGTCTGCCAACAAACAATTACTTGCAGAGGCTTCCTACAACTTGTTTCAACAGTTCAGATTTAATCAGAAGACAAATAAAACAGGATGACAAGCCAATGTGAAAATCAAAAGAAAGCAAAGAATAATGTACTGAAGGAGACTGTTGTGCCATCACATATTTTTGTGGTTTGAGAGCAAAGATCCGGTCGCCGCTGTGCAAAACTCTGCAATACAATTAGGTCCGAAAAAAACCCTGAATTCTGCCGAAGGTCCGAATGTTTAAAAATGGTATTCAGGACAGCCCTAGCGCCGGCACTATCCACTATGCTACCAACGCATACTGACCTTTAATTGATATTGATTCTTTTAGGTAGCTAAAATACAGCTTGTAGCTGCCCCCATCCACAGCAGTACACAGCGTATCATTGGTGTCAGACACCAGTCTGCTTCTCCAAACTGTGCGGGTGCTGACAGATGGATTTGTGCCCCATACAAACCCCACTTCAAAAAATATTAACTATCCTTTTATGGCCAGCGAAAAAGCTACGGAAAGACATAAATAAACACAAATCGGCACAAACTGAGGCAAAAATGCATCTCTCTGAGTTAAGAACCAGAAGTTTGTGCTAACCATGGAACATCATGAATATTGCTCATGAACAAACAGAGAGGAAATAGGAGAGACTGGAGGGAATATGGCAGAAAAAATTTCAGTGTCCGGTGACCTCTGAGATCAGTGAGAGGCTCAGCTGAACATCAGTCAGCCTACAGCTGACAGACAGAATACTGCAGCGGTTCCTAACTGGTCCAGATTTATACTTGTGCGTCAGCTCTATGCAGAGCCTACACCGTATCCTACGCCATTGTGAGCATTTGTACTTGTGCGGTGGTGTGTCTGTGTCACTCTGCAGTTACACCTCCACAACACTAGTCAGCGGTGGGGTAAGCGTGACTCTGGCTGAAGTAACAAAATGGCGGCGTGCTCGTCGCTGCCTCCTCTGGTTAAATTTCCACATTAACTGCAGCGTGACCTGTGCGTGGAGCACAGACACAGAATATGTAGATATGATGAGAATCTTTGTGAGAGGAACTTTTGAACTTTGTGGACTTTGTTTTGGTATAAAAAGAAATGTATCAGAGGACTCAGAGAAATCTTTTTTTCCGCTTCATGTCTCAGAATCTCAGCGATTTTTTTCTCTGAGAACAGTAAATGTACAGAAATGAATGCATTGGCGCAGAAACATATGGACAAAACAGTCATAAAGTATTATTGATACACAGAGTGGGAGATCGTACTATTGACCAACATTCAGTTTTCAACCGTTTGCATTAAAGGAAAATTCCCCACTTTTATATCTGACAGTCAGATCTCATTGATCTGTGATGATTCGAGAGTTGTTTTACTTCTCACTTGCCTTTTAATTTACAGCTGCATCATTTGTAAATCATTCTCCCAGAATACTTTGAGGCTCCTGAGGGGTATGAGGACTCCTGACCCCTATATTTCATTTCTTACTATGTTCTGCTCCTGTGAGAGGATTTTTTTTTATTATCTTACTACATATAAAATTTTTCATACGAAGACGAGTAAATTTTGTTTCTGTTGGGGGTGTTTCCTTGGCAGCAGGATGGCTCACAGTGTGGGCGGGGCTTCAGAGGAGGCTGGTTGTGTCCATGGTTGTGTTGGACCTGTGTAAAATGAGATATTAACACTGACTAATGAAATGCATGAATTAAGTATTGAACGTTGTGAATTATTGGCCATAATTCTTGAATCTAAAGTGATGTAGTGTACAAAGCCTCGTGCAGACATTTTTAGTAGTGAAAGTGCAAAAATATTGAAGTAAATTTAATTAAAATGACGTGAAACAAGATGATTGAGGTGTCTCCTGGTCTTTCTTTGGGTCAAAGAAGAAGTGTGTCGGCTCATGTCCGGCTGTGTGGAAGCAGGCGAGAGCAGGAGCAAATGTTATATGGTGATCATCAAGAGGTACACTTACATTCATATATGCTTTACAGAATGTAAGAATGTTACCTGTAGAAAAATGTAATAGATTTACTCTATCTGCAAACACTCACCATGTATGAAGAGAGATCACAGCTATTTTAGATTTAGTCTTCAGCATAGTTCAGACCAAAGAGTCACGACGAGACGAGTTAAAACCGACAACTACTGTCAATGTGCTCAACTGTGACGCTGTAAAAAGCTGCAACTAGATGAAGGTGTATCATCTCTAGTCAACAACTCTCTGTACTTCTGATCTGTAACGTTGACAGGAAGTGACCACCATGAGACGGCGTATCATCTCTAGTCAACAACTCTCTGTGCTTCTGATCTGTAACGTTGACAGGAAGTGACCGCCATGAGACGGCGTATCATCTCTAGTCAACAACTCTCTGTGCTTCTGATCTGTAACGTTGACAGGAAGTGACCGCCATGAGACGGCGTATCATCTCTAGTCAACAACTCTCTGTGCTTCTGATCTGTAACGTTGACAGGAAGTGGCCGCCATGAGACGGTGTATCATCTCTAGTCAACGACTCTCTGTGCTTCTGATCTGTAACGTTGACAGGAAGTGACCGCCATGAGACGGCGTATCATCTCTAGTCAACAACTCTCTGTACTTCAACAACTTCTACAACTAGGCATAAGCACATACAGCCAGCAGCAGCAGCGACCCACCGTCTGACACCGGCACACTGTGAGGACAGAAACAGAGGGCTCTGTGGGGACGGAGCACCTGCTGCAGCAAGCCAACACGCCATCTGTGGTCATTTTGACTTGACCAGCAGACTTCACTACAAGCTGATTGGCTGTTGAAACAGGTGACGTGCTTTAAAACCAGCCGCCAGCCATTTGACCAGCTGAGTGTCAGGTGACACCATCAGCCAGCTTGAGGCGAGCTCAGACCGGCCAGTTCACACCGCTGACACTTTTCTCTGCAACGTTCTATGATGGTTTGGTCTCGTCGACAATCTTTGGGCTGAGCTGGACTTAAATCAGGCACATTTTAGTCATTTTTGTCCTTCAGGTCGATGAAAATTCAAAATGTTTCAGTCAGTTTTAGTCATTATGTTTTCTATGTTTTTAATCTTTAAGCTATTCCAGTGAGGCTAATTCATGTATCAGAAATTAGAATCAAGGTGACAGGTTGTATAAAAATCTAATTTAGACAAATCCATGTGTGCACAAGATGAACCTTGTGCCACAGGTCACTGGTGATTTTCAAAAAGGGTGAAAGATTTTTTTGCAGTCAAGCTCAACTGTCAACGTGAGATCCCTCTGACTGTATTATTAGGAAAAAATAAGAGGAAGGAGTGTTGAGAATAGAAACTAAAATGTTTCGAAAGAAAAAGGAACTGGAACGGATGTCAGAGCAGAGAATAATGATGAGAGATGAGAAGCATCAAACGTGTAAAACAATCCACACTAAATGAGAGGAGGGACTGATGATAAATAAAAGGAAGGACAGACAAACAGATAAGTCTGGAGAAATTCTGTGGAAAAAAAGAAAATCAAAAACCAGTAAAACAACAGTAAATGTATCTACCAACTATGTATCTGCAGCCTGATATATCTTCTTCCTCCGTGCCATAGAACTCCATTATTGTCCAAAAACTATTGAAAACACATCAGTCAGTATGTTTACATGACATTAGACAGTTTATTGTGTTACCGGACTTTTAAAATACATGTAAACATGTTAGTCTGACTGAAATTGTACTAAATTGAATTTCTAAAATTGGGACTAACATACCCAGATAATGTGACTGGGAGTCATAAATACAGTCAAACAGACCCAGTTTCCACCCCGGCCTTTGACCTGGAAGTCGAGAAGAAGTCGGTAACAACATGATGAAATCTCCAGTTAAACAGTTTTCAAATACACGGCTAACTTGTTTGTC